ATCAAACCTTTTTTCAAGGTTCTTAGTTTCTTTGCATTGGGTGAGAACATGTTCTTTTAGCTCAGAGAAGTTTGTTATTACCCACCTTCTGAAGCCCATTTCTGTCAATTCATCAGACTCATTCTCCATTGAGCTTTGTTCCCTTGCTGGTGAGGAGTTGTGATCCCTTGGAGGAGGAGAGGTGTTCTGGTTTGGGGTGTTTTCATCCTTTTTGCACTGGTTTCTTCCCATCTTTGTGGATTTATCTACCTGTGGTCTTTGTAGTTGGTGACTTTCGTATGGGGTCTGCGATTGGATGTCCTTTTTGTTGATGTTGAAGTTCTTTCTTTTTTTTAGTTTTCCTTCTAACAGTCAGGTCCCTCTGCTGTAGGACTGCTGGAGGTCCACTCCAGACCCTGCTTGCCTGGGGATCACCTGTGGTGGCTGCAGAACAGTAAGCGTTGCTGCCACTTTCTTCTTCTGTTATCTTCGTCCCAGAAGGATACTCACCAGTTGCAGCCTGAGCTCTCCTTTATGAGGTGCCTCTTTGGATATATAGGGGTTGGGGAGCTATTTGAGGAGACAGTCTGTCCCTTATAGGAGCTCAAGTGCTGTGTTGTGAGCTCCGTTGTTCCATTCAGATCTGCTGGGCAGGTACATTTAAGTCTGCTGCAGCGGAAATCATAACCGCCTTTTTCCCCTGTGCCCTGTCCTGGTAAGGTGGGGCTTTATTTATAAGTTCCTAATGTGCTACTGCCTTTTTTCATAGATGCCTTGCCCAGCAAGGAGGTAGCCTAGTCACAGTCTACCAGCAGAGGCATTGCTGAGCTGCTGTGGGCTCTGCCCAGCTGCTGTGTGAACTTCCTTATGGTTTTGTTTACAGAGGTATAGTTAGAACTGCCTCGGTAATGGTGGTCCACCCCAGTAATGGTGGACTGCCTCTGTAACAGCGGACTGCCTCAGTAATGGCAGACTGCCTTGGTAATGATGGACTGCCTTGGTAGTGGTAGACTGCCTCAGTGATGTTGGACGCCCTTCCCCCCACAGAGCTGGACCATTCCGGGTCCAGCTGCGCTTGCTGCAAAACTCTCAATCCAGAGCATTTCAGATTGCTGGTCTTTGTGGGGTTGGGACCTGCTGAGCCAGATCACCTGGCTCCCTGTTTCAGTCCCCTTTTATTCAGTTGAATGGGCAGCTGTCTCCCAGGCATTGCAGACAGCAGTTGAAACGGCCGCCCAGATTTCTGTGAGTTTTTGTGTGGAGACATGCTGTGCTGGCTGAAACAGCCATGCTGGAAACTCGTGGCGCTTTTCAGCCCAGGAATCTCGTCTGTGGGCAGTAATAACTCATTTGGAAATGGCGGTGATCACTCAGCCTCTGCATTGTTCTCACTGGGAACTGCACTCCAGAGCTGTTCCTATTTGCCCATCTTAGATCCCCTCCTGGATTAACAATTTTTGAAGGAAAATCATCACCAGCATTTACCTCAAGAGCTTTTTTGTCTTGCAGAATTGACACTCTATGCCCATCAAACAATAATTCCACATCCTGCCCTTCCCTGTGCCCTGGCAACCACCATTCTACTTTCTGTTGCCATGAATATGAATATTGTAAGTACCTCATATAACTGAAATCATGTAGTATTTGCCCTTTTGTGACTGGCTTATTTCACTCAGAACAATGTTTCAAGGTACATTAGTGTTATAGCATGTGTTAGAATTTTCTTCCTTTTAAGGCTGAATAATAGTCCTTCGTATGGATATACCACATTTTGCTTATTGAAGCATCCATTAGTGGACACTTGGGTTGCTCCCATGTTTTAGAATAATGCTGCTATGAATGTAGGTGTACACATACTTCTTCGAAACATGCTTTCAGTTCTTTTGGGTATATGTCAAGAAGTGTATTGGTTGGATGATACAGTAATTCTATTTTTAATTTTTTGGGGAATCATCAAACTCCTCCCATTGCAATTGCACCATTTTACATTTCCACCCACAGTGCACAGGGTTCCAGTTTGTTCACATTTTCACAAACATTTGTCATTTTCTTTTGTTTAGATAATAGCCATCTCGGCCAGGCGTAGTGGCTCATACCTATAATCCCAGCACTTTGGGAGGCTGAGGAGGGTGAATCACCTAAGGTCAGGAGTTCGAGACCAGCCTGACCAACATGGTGTAACCCCATCTCTTACTAAAAATACAAAAAAATTAGCCAAGTGTGGTGGTGTGTGCCTGTAATCCCAGCTACTCAGAAGTCTGAGGCAGGAGAATCGCTTGAGCCCAGGAGGTGGAGGTTGCAGTGAGCCAATATCGCACCACTGCACTCCAGCCTGGGCACCAAGAGCAAAACTCTGTCTCAAAACAAAAAGAAAATAAAAAAGATAATAGTCATCTTAATGGGTGTGAGGTAGTATCTCAGATGGTTTTGATTTGTATTTCCCTAATGACTGAGCATTTTTGTGTGTGTTTATTGGCCATTTGTGTATCTTCTTTGGAGAAATGTCTATTTAAGTCTTTTACCTATTTTTGGTAAATAGGTAAAATAGGTTGGGTTTTTTTGTTGTTGAATTTTAGGAGTTCTCTATATATTCTGGATGTGAACCCCTTATCATATATATGATTTACAAATATATTGCTCCATTCTGTAGCTGCCTTTATTAATGGTATCTTTTGCTGCATAAAACTTTTAAATTTTCATGAAGTCCATCAAATTTGCTATTAATAATTTTTCCCATTGTGCCTGTGCCTTTGGTGTCATATTCAAGAACTGAATTCCCAAATCCAACATAGTGACACTTTTGCCCTGTGTTTTCTTCTAAGCATTTTAATTTTTAAAATTTATTTATTTATTTATTTTTGAGGCTGAGTTTCACTTTTGTCACATAGCCTGGAGTACAACAGCACAGTCTCAGCTCACTGCAACCTCCACCTCCCGGGTTCAGGTGATTCCTCTGCCTCAGCCTCCTGAGTAGCTAGGATTACAGGCACCCGCTACCACGCCTGGCTAATTACTGTATTTTTAGTCAAGACAGGGTTTCACCATATTGGCCAGAATGGTATCGAATTCCTGACCTCAGGTGATCCACCCACCTCGGCCTCCCAAAGTGCTGGGATTACAAGCAGAACCACCACGCCCAGCCCCATTTTGTGTTAGTAGTTTTAGATTTTACGTGCAGGTCTTTGATCTATTTTGAGTTAGTATTTGTATATGGTGTAAGGTAAGGGGCCAACTCCAGTCTTTTGCATGTGGATATCCAGTTTTCCCGGCACCATTTGTTGAATGTGGTGTAACTCTGTCACTCAGGACCATAATGGTCTTATCTGCATGAGGAGTCAGCCAAGACACTTTTTCATCCATATCTGTATGTTGACCAGGAACTATATAAATGCACACCTCCCCTGATGTCATCTCTGCCTAAACTGCACTTGAGGGTTTTGAGCAGGAGAGTTACTGGGTTCTGTTTTTATACTTAAAGGTCACTCTGGATTTACTGTAGAAAATGCATTGCATGGGTGCCATGGCAGAGTCCTGTTAATAGGCTATTGAAATAATTCAGGTGAAAGAGGGTGCCTTGGACTAGAGCAGAGGCAGAGAAGAAGGCAAGCATCAGAGCATTAAGCAAAATTTTGCATTAAACATGGCTGCTCATAGAAGTAGATGAATCATTGAGGGCATTGGAGGGGCTGAAATGTCAGCAGTGCTCCCCAGTTCTCTGGCTTGCACAATCGGCAAGCTGTGGTGCCATTTCCTTGATATAAGGGACCCTGGAAGAGGACTGGGTTGGGGGCAGTCCTGAGTGTGGTTTGGGACATAAGGAGCTGCAAGTCTTTGAGACATGCAAGCAGGGATGCTGAGCAGACAGCAGGAGCTCTGGGGAGAGAGGCGGACCGCAGCCAGAAAGAAGTTGTGCACGAGTCACTGGTGACTGCTGGTGTGGCGTCAATGAGGTTGTCAAGGAAGAGAGTAGAGTGAAGGGAAGGAGGCTGGCGACAGAGCCCAGAGGAACCTTGACATTTAAACCTGCACTGAGAAGTGGTGGCCAGACAGGGAAGAGGAAAGCTGCGAGCTTGTGGTGCCAAGAAGCCAAGGGAATAGGCTCTGGGAGGAGGCAGGCAGTGGAGTCAGATGCGTTGAGAACCCAGCATGAAATGCCTACGAGGCAGGCACCGGCACAGTTCTCAGCAACCAAACGCAGAGCTCAGGACAGACAGGGAAGAAGCAGCAGGGCGTGTGCAGGAGGGAATGCAGGTTCCAGGGGTAGCCAACCCACCAGGAGCATTTGGTGGGAGGAGCGGGTGGGTCTGGCAAGAGAGGACGTCAGCTGGAGGGTCCGGCTGTTTAGGTGCTGGCTCTGTCTGCACCAGGACACACTCCCACGTTCTCCACTGGACCAGGAGACAAGGCCACAGGGCCAGGCCCACTTCTGCTCTCTTTCCTGTTCTTTGAAGTAGAGCACACACTCCCCTTGATGACTGAGTCTATTGCCACGTTGCATGTATCTCAGTGATATCCGGAGAACTTCTTTACCCACCAATAAGCTCTGGTTTACGTTTATATCCAGGCAGGCATCCTCAGTTCTATCCCTTGTCTCAGACCCCCTTCACAATCACTTTCTCCCATCATTAAGTGACTATGGGCACATCTCTTTGGTGCCTTTGATCTCTCCTTTCAGCACCCTTTTGTGCAAAAGCGCACATTGATCAAAATGTCAGCCACTTTAAGTACGCAAACCTGCTGCATCAAGTCATGTGTGTGTTTGTGCACATGAATAACAGAGGTTCACAGTATCACAGCCTTCTTCAGACAGCCAGACCTGTGATGACCGAGTGTGTAGGTGTATGGGATGGAGCCCGCGTGCATGTGTACATGTGTGTGGACATGTGTGTGCACTGTGTGGGTGTGCACATGTACTTTGTGTGCATGTGTGCACATAAAGAGGTGGGAGGGTCAGTGAGCTGGTTTGGGGACAAGAAAGAACCTTAATACCTTTTCCCAACTCTGATTGCTGTGGACTGCAGCCCCTGGGAAGCCTGGCCCCGCCAATGGACAGCAAAGCCACAGAGAAGGAGAAGAAGCCACCCACAGCAACCACCAAGGGAGGAAGAGGAAAAGGAAAAGGCAAGAAGAAAGGGAAAGTGAAAGAGGAAGTAGAGGAAGAAACTGATCCCCGGAAGATAGAGCTGCTGAACTGGGTATGTGGAAGGTCACAGAGATCACCTGCTTGGCATCACGCTTCCCTAGGAGAAGGGGCGTCACGCTTCCCTAGGAGAAGGGATGGTTCTTGCCCTTGCTTCAGTCCTATCCAGGGCCCTGATCCCAGGAGGGGTGGGTAAAGGCTTGACTGGGTAGTGTCAGCATTTCAAACTACAACAGCACGTTCGTTGTGATGATCCTTGTAGATTGTCCAAAACACCAATCGTTCCTGCATTGGGGGGAATGATGCCACCCAGAGAGGAGCCCTGGGTCACCCTGATCAGCAGTGGCTCTCTGCTTGGCAGACATGCCAATTCTTGATGCATGAAAATATGGCAGACAAGCCTGTTGTCACCAAATAAACACAATTTGTGCAAAAATCCCCTTTTTTTGACAGAGCCCATGATTGGGTATGTGGGGGTAACAGCAGTTTAGGGGCGGGAGGCTGGAGCCACACACTGCACTGCAGTTCTCGGTCTTGCTGCCACCAGGACACAGGCAAGACAGGGGACCAGGCCTCTACGGTGACATGTGCCTGCCATTATCATGGCCACTCACCCGCATGGCATGAGTGATCCTGGTCATGCTGCCTGCCCAGCTAGCTCCGCCTGGCCGAACTCAGTCAAGGAAACAAATGGTGGAGACTGGGCGGGGCAATGCCAGGAAGGCTGAGATTTTGAATTCTCTTCAATTTATCTTCAAAAGGAAAAAACAATGTACAAACATGGATGGAACATGTAGAGGCCAAACTGAGAAGAAAGGAGAGGGGAGATAGGGGTGTTTATCCAATCTAAAGAGCAAAGAGAGCCATGTTGGAGTGCTCAGGGATCTGGGGCTCGGAATATCCTTTCCTCTGTGTTTCCAGTCTGCCCCTCCCCACTGCCTCTGAGAGGCCACTCACGGGCTCCCGGCTCTTGGTCCCTGCAGGTGAATGCTTTGGAGCAAGCGATGTTGGATGCTTTAGTCTTAGATCGTGTTGACTTTGTGAAGCTCCTGATTGAAAACGGAGTGAACATGCAACACTTTCTGACCATTCCGAGGCTGGAGGAGCTTTATAACACAGTGAGTGCTCTAGAAAAAGGGAGAGAAGGGGGAGGCAGCCATCTGAATGTGTTTGTAACTGGTGCATATTGTGCATAAATGTGGTCAGATGAGCACAGACCCATCTGACCTCCTTCGGCTGGGAGGTCCACATCTAATGGCAGACAGCTACTTCTCACCGGCTGCTGGTGCAGCCTGTGTTCACATTCTGACCACTACTCCCACGCCTCGCCAGGCACTCCTTTCTCGGGCAGTATCAACTCTTGTCCCACATTTGAGGGTGGCGTCTGAGCACTTGTTTCTATAAAGAGGGAATCTAGCTCCCCAAGCCATTAGCAGAGTGAAATGTCACCATGGATGAGAAGTCAGTTGCTCTTTGGGAACTTCACATTTGATGAGGCTTTTGGGGAGAACATAGAGCTAAGCTTCACAGCCAGGAGCTCTGCTGGAAGGGTTTGAATAAAATTCCCTTGGCTTATATTATTACAATATAAGTTTTGAGAATTTATACAGTATTTCCTTCTCTATTGTAAGATTTTAAGTAGCAGAAATGGTCCTCAGCAGTTGCTTGCTAAAACTTGGTGAATTTTTTTTTTTTCTGAGACTGGGTCTCTCTTGTTGCCCAGGCTGGGGTGCAGTGACATGATCTCAGCTCACTGCAGCCTCAACCTCCTAGGCTCAAGCTGTCCTCCCACCCCAGCCTCCTGAGTATCTGGGACTACAGATGCACACCACCACAGCCAGCTAATATTTGGAATTTTTGTAGAGACAGGGTTTCTTCATGTTGCCCAGGCTGGTCTCGAACTCCTAACCACAAGTGATCTCCCAAAGTGCTGGGATAATAGGTGTGAGCCACTGATCCTGGCCAACTTGGCGAATTTGTAACACTATATCATGCACCTTAAGATACTCTTTAAAAAAATGGAACAGAAAGTATTTCACAACTTTCTGTCGGATAATTTTTAACCATGACCAGTTCTGTTTTGTAAAAGAAAAAGGCTGGTATGGGTTACACTCCATCTCTCACAATTCATTAATCATAAAGTAGGGCAGGAATTTGCTGGAAGAGTTCAAGAAAAAACCATCTTTATTTATAGCTGGGGTCTCTCTCTATGGCCTAGGCTGGAGGTGCAGTGGCACAATCTTGACTCACTGCAACCTCTACCTCCCAGGTTCAAGTGATCCTCCCAGCTCAGCCTCTCTAAAAGATGAGATTACAGGTGTGTGCCACCACGCCTGGCTAATTTTCGTATTTTTAGTAGAGACGGGGTTTCACCATGTTGGCCAGGATGGTCTCAATCTCCTGACCTCAAGTGATCCACCCACCTCGGACTCCCAAATTGCTGTGATTACAGGCATGAGCCACCACGCCCAACCAAGAAAAATAAATTTAACAAACATGAATGCTTCTCTTTCAGAGACTGGGTCCACCAAACACACTTCATCTGCTGGTGAGGGATGTGAAAAAGGTCAGTCTACCGTTTCATAATCCCAACCTATTGGCATCTTTCACAGAGACATTTCTTAAGAGCGATTTTTAAATTTTCAAAATGTATTACTATTTCAGGCACAGGAGATAATGAATTCCTTCTTTCAAAAAGGGTCTATTTAAAATAAAGCAAAAGGATAATTTTTTTTTTTTTTTTTTTTTTTTTGGATTTAAATTTTTTTTTTTGAGACAGAGTTTGTGGCTCAGTCATAGGCTGGAGTACAGTGGTGCGATCTTGGCTCACTGTAACCTCCATCTACCAGGTCCAAGCAATTCCCCTGCCTCAGCCTCCTGAGTAGCTGGGACTACAGGCATGCACCACCACACCCGGCTAGTTTTTTGTGTTTTAGTGGAGACAAGGTTTCACCATGTTGGCCAGGATGGTCTTGATCTCCTGACCTCGTGATCCACCCGCCTCGGCCTCTCAAAGTGCTGGGATTACAGGTGTGAGCACCGCACCCGGCCAAGGATAATCTTTTTTAAGTTGCAGGGTCATCCGAATTCATGACAGGGACACGCTCAGTGACACCCGGATTACCGGTTGATGCCAGCACAAGGCCAGGGCAGCCACTGGGTGGGGCTGGGGAAGGGGGTGTCCCAGCCACTGACCCGAGCACTGCTGTCTGTCCATGCAGCCTCTCCTTCTTTCCCTCCTTTGAGATCTCTCACCCACTGCTCGTGCCTCTTTCCAGAAGCACTGGCAGGAGGTTCCTCAGGTCATTCTGTGTCCTGTTGATTGCAGCCACTGTTCTTGGCCCTTTCTGCCACCTTGTTATCAAGGGATAGATGCTTTTCCCAGCCTGAATGTTGTTCAATCCCCTACCCAGCCACCCCTTCCATGAACCCTAAGTGGGGGCCAGGACAGCCACTTACGCCCAAGGCATGTGATGAGGTCCACACCGCGAACGCATTCTCACAGGGCCTGAGACAGACTTCTCTTCTTACAGAGCAACCTTCCACCCGATTACCACATCAGCCTCATAGACATCGGGCTCGTACTGGAGTACCTCATGGGAGGAGCCTACCGCTGCAACTATACTCGGAAGAGCTTTCGCACCCTCTACAACAACTTGTTCGGACCCAAGAGGGTAGAACTTGGTGCCTGTGTAGTGTACTGTGGCTCCTGGAGTGGCATGTGGTTCCTCACTTGCTTTTCACAAATGGCCAGTTCAGAGCCAAGCCCTTCGCCCGCCCCCAGCACACCTGCCCTGCCTCCTCCAGCACTCTCAGGTCCAAGCCACAGCATTCTCCAGCTCCCCTAAGCACGTGGGGACATCCAGCCCACCCACTGCATCTGCCCTCCTGTATCCACAGCAGACCCCCTCCTGGGCTCCAGGACTACTGTCTGCCCACTCCAGCCTGTCCTACCATCCCACCACTGTGCCTGCCATAATCGTCTAAAGCAAGGGACATGCCAGCATTCCCTGCTCCAAACCTCCCGGAGCCCCTCACTGCCTGGAGAATCGTAGCCAAACTCATTATCACAGCAGCCAAGGCCCTCCACCAGCTGGCTCCAAGCCACCTGGGAGACCACGTACCTGCACCAAAATCTAATCCTGTGATCAAATCAAAGACATGTACCTGCCATGTCTTTCCCAGTTATGAGTGCCTTTCCCACTCTTATCAAGAATCCAAATCAAATGTCCGATCTTTCATGACGCCCTCCCCTCACACCCCCCTCACAGCTCACCCAGCTCTCTGGGTGTCTGTTAGGGAACTTCTCTGCTTCTGCTTGTAATAAGGGACATGTGTCTGCAAAGCTTTCTTCTCAGTTAACTTCTGACAGAGGAAGAGTTGCCATATTAAAGCACTTCTCTTCCTTGGATATTATCATTAATTGTTAATGATACAAAGTGCTTTTTAATCAATTAGTATGTCCACTACCAACAGTACTACTAATGAACTACTAACATTGGTTATCTGAGTAAATTGATGTTTTTCTTCCCCTTTCACATGCAGCCTAAAGCTCTTAAACTTCTGGGAATGGAAGTAAGTAGAATTTGTTTTCAAAGGTTTTATAATATCTTGGTCAAATATACATAGCCCTTTAAGTTCTGTACTTGCAAATACAGCATACTACTCACGAAAATTTACTTAGGTGTCTTAGTCAAATTATATAAAAGGACAATACATACATTTTCTTTAAAGGGGGTAAAAACTGCACAATTCATTTTCTAGAGCTAGCAAAACCACGGTTTCAAAAAAAAAAGGATAAACAAAAAGCTATAGAATAACACCACATGTATGCAAAAATCATAAATAATACCCAAATGACTGGACTATTTTCAAAGTCCTGAACAAGTAGAGTCCTCCAAGAATGCAAATATAATGCAGTGTTAGTCTTTAATATATAGCACCTACTGAGAAATGGTCATGTCATACTTTTCTTCTTTTTAAACATAGTTTTCAGTCTCCTCAGTATCCTCAATTGTTTGTCATTTCTTGCGCCTTTTTTTTTTTTTTGGGTCAAAGTCTCACTCTGTCACCCAGGCTGGAGTGCAGTGGTGCAATCTCGGTTCACTGCAGCCTTCGCCTCCCGAGTTGAAGCAATTCTCCTGTCTCAGCCTCCTGAGTAGCTGGGAATGGGGGCACATGCTACACCCCAGGCTAATTTTTGTATTTTTAGTAGAGACAGGGTTTCACCATGTTGGTCAGGCTGGTCTCAAACTCCTAACCTCAGGTGATCCACCCACCTTGGCCTTCCAAGGTGGGATTACAGGCATGAGCCAAAGCTCAGCCTCTTATGCCAATTTTTTAAAAATCTATATCTCCTGTTTTTTTCTTAAGCATTCTTTCCTACATATTTTATTGGTATTTTTGCTTTATCAAGCAACTTCGTTTTTCTGTTTCTATTTTATTAATGTCTGCTTTTATTTTTATTCATTTCTTCCATATACTTTCCCTAGTGTTATTGTATTGTTTGTGCTAACTCAGTTTGAAAGGAAAATTCACTCATTTTCTATCTTCCGTGTATCCCTATAAATGCATTACAGGTATAAATTTTTCTGAGCATTGTTTCATGGTGTTCTACAGGTTTGGATGAATAGAACCTTCCTTGTCATTCTTTCTAGGGCATTTGTTATTTCCTTTACAATCCAAGAGTTATTTAGAAGTGTATTTCAAATTTCCCAGATACAGACTTTTGTTGTTGTTACCCCACGGTTATTGATTTCAAATTTTATTCCTTGTATAGAAATTCCCTGTAATTTGTCTCAAATTCATGGCTAAATAAGGTGTGTTTAGACTCTTACTATGATTTTAATATGTCAGTTTCTCCGGACGCTCCCAGTGCAGATCCCTTGCTGCTTTATTGGTTTCTTTCCCTTTTCCTCACTGATTTGTGACAGACTTTTGCATTTTAGGAAAACTAACTCTTTGTTTCTCATATTCTCTCTCTGGCAGTTTTTAAAGATAATTTACATACAATTAATATTTAATAATATATGTTATTGAAAGGTAGGCTTAAAAGGACTTCTGTTTTATAACATCTCATTAGGCATTAGTTAATTTGAATTTTTAGTAGAGTCGGGGTTTCACCATGCTGGCCAAGCTGGTCTCAAACTCCTGACCTCAAGTGATCTGCCTGCCTCGGGCTCCCAAAGTGCTAGAATTACAGGCATAAGCCACCATGCCCAGCCCTTATTTTATCTTATATATTCTTGAAAATAAATCTATGTTTATCTTAAAATTTCTACAATGTTCATTTTTAACCTGTGCAGACCAACTTTTCCTACGTCACTTGTCTATAGCTTCACTGTGACAAAATTAGAAAATTAGAACAAAGAAATTTAAATTGGAGTCAAGATACTATAGTTTCCATTAAAATGTTATCACAGCTCATTGTGATATTATAGAAACTGGGTCAGTAGTGAACAATTCAAGATAGGAATTGGAGGGCCAGGTTGTCCCCCATAACCCCCCACGCTGCAGCCCACTCTGACTGTGTGAATGTTACCGAGTTATTCAGACTGAGCCACAACTTCCTAATCTGAGGAAATGGAAGGAATTCACAACCTCTCAGAGTCTTCATAAGAATGAAAGAAGATAACTGATGGGAACGCTGTTTGCAAAAGAGCAAACATCTGTTTCTGTTATTCCATTGAATACTAAAGTATTAGCCTGGGATAGTCTGAGACGCACATTTTTCATGCCAGTTTTCCCAGTCGTGATCTGCCTTTCTTACGCATCCTGATCCGTTTGCAGAACAGTTCTCGTAATCCCTTTAGGAAATGGGAAATGTTGGCCTTCCGTTTTGCGCCATATGGGGAAAAGGACAACGCTCATTCAAAGTGGAATGTTTGCTTTCTTAAAATACTGGAGGGAAATCTAAAACATTTTTCTCTAGCCCCTTTTGCATGTTTCTTATTAATTTCTGGTTCAGCTATGTCTGGCAAACGAGCGTTATTTTTGTTACACTGCGAAGACTTCCCCAAGGAAATAAACTGTGGGCCTCCCCTCTTCCATGATGTTATTTGTGTTTAGTTTTGGGGGAGGTTTTGCTTGCTTGTTTTAGTTTTGCAGCATTTCCTCAGCTAAAGGCTTCTAAGTAAAACTGCTGATTCAGCGGTGCAAGTTATCCAAACAGTAGTATGGCTTCTCAGTTCATTTGGTTTTAGATAGTTTACTTCTCATAATAAACTTGTGCATCTTTTCAAAAGAATTAATATGCGGAGTGGAAATGGAAGGTGTACTTCAGAAGTGTCTTCACTACCTCTGACAGGAAGGTGTCCCTTTCTCAATGAGTTCTGGAACTCTCTGTTGCATACTTTTATGGCAAAACCATGACATCCATGTTTCTCCCCTCAGGATGATGAGCCTCCAGCTAAAGGGAAGAAAAAGAAAAAGAAGAAAAAGGAGGAAGAGATCGACATCGATGTGGACGACCCCGCCGTGAGTCGGTTCCAGTACCCCTTCCATGAGCTGATGGTGTGGGCCGTGCTGATGAAACGCCAGAAAATGGCGGTGTTCCTCTGGCAGCGAGGGGAAGAGAGCATGGCCAAGGCCCTGGTGGCCTGCAAGCTCTACAAGGCCATGGCCCACGAGTCCTCCGAGAGCGATCTGGTGGATGACATCTCCCAGGACTTGGATAACAATTCCAAGTTAGTGTCTGGGGGCATTTAAAGGCCAGGAGAGACGACCATCTTGAGTGCTTGTCCCTGCAGGGAGGGGTGGCCCGTGCACTTCTCACTCAAGGACAGTGGTGGTTAAAGCTTGTTCACAAATCACTTTGTCCGTCACGTCAGCATTTTTCTGTCTGTCTCTCAGAGGCATTTTTAGACTGTCACTGTTTTTGTCTACTGCCTTCTCTTTGCATTAAAATAGAAACAATTCCCTTCTCTTTACATTAAAATTGAAACTCAATCACAGTTCACATTTCCTAACTCTGCACTGGTTCCCGCAGAAGTTTCTGCTCCAGTAAGTTGTGGTTCTCAGTATCTGCCTGTCTGTCTCTCCAGTTTGGGGGACAGCAGTTTGCCCTGTGACCCCACGTCTCCGGTGGAGCTAAAAGGATTTGATGTTCAGCTTGTTTAGTTTGTTACTTGTTAGGATGGATGTCGACTTCCAAGTTCCTTCCATGCCACACGGAAACCAGAGGTTCCAGCACAACTTTATAGGAGCCTAAACTTGAGGCAGGCACAGGCAGCTCTGCCAACATCTAACACCTTTGTTTTCTGAAGTTCACTGCTTTTATTTTGGACTCAGTTATTTCTAAAATTACTAGCTGATTTCTAAACGATAGGAATTCAAGACTCCCTAATAATGGGGCCATGTCCACCTACCTCATGGGTTTGTCAGTGCCAACCTTTACTTCCTAGAGTCCCCACATGGTGACATGTCATCACCCTGCAGCCTGCAGGAAGGCTAGGAGGTACTGCAGATAGCATTCCTCTTCAAGGACAGAGAAGGCCATTCTCCCACACAGGATTCTGCCTTCCTCATCCTCTTCGTCACTGGAATAAAATATTCTATTGACTGGAGAAACAAAAGCAGAGGAGGGTGATCACTTAGAGATCTAGTCTTAACCGTATTCCATTATAAAAAAGTCGAAAGAACTTGGAATGTTTATGGTTATCGCCAGATATTTGAATCTGGGTCATGTGAGGAAGGCAGTAAACTTTATGCTCAAAATTCAGCTTCTGCCACCTCCATGCCCTCAAACTTCTAACACTGCCCCCATCAGTCCTTAGGCACCCTCTGGCCTGGGCCCTGTGACAGCTATGCCTTATCTCTGTCATAGCACTGAGAATGTTAGCTTCTCTGTAATCACTGTGATAGTGAAGCGTTACACACGCAGAGAAAGGCATATATCCGAAATACCCAGTTGGTGACAGTCCACAGGTGGGCCATGCCAGTACCACAGCACCTAGATCAACTAAGAACCTAGTCGGCAGCCCCCAGCCCTCCTATGACCCCTTTCAGTGTCCACCTCCCCCCACTACCACCACCGGCAGCCCCGCTCCTGTAGCCTCCAATCCCACAGGTGCTGCTTTTGAAGTCACTTTTGCTGTCTTTTCTGTCTGCCTCCCTGATCTGTGCACAACTTGAGGGAAGGGACTTTGTCTTCTTGTCTCTATGTCACTGGGGCCTGAAGGGCAGATGTGGGCTCAACCTACAGCTCCATTTGCAGCTGGAGCAATCAGCCCATCTCCTGACTGAGCTCCCAGACACTGTCCCTGGCTGTCCCCCTTTGGGGACACATCTCTGGAGCTTCTTGCTTGCAGAGAACCGCAAAGCCCTTCCAGTAAAGGATTCTGTGTCCCATGGCTCCATAATTCCCTGTGGATGCGCTTGTCAAAGAAAGAGCTTGCGGCCACTGTGGCTTCACCCTGGTCCCTTCTCTTTCCCCGCAGAGACTTCGGCCAGCTTGCTTTGGATTTATTAGACCAATCCTATAAGCACGACGAGCAGATTGCCATGAAACTCCTGACCTATGAGCTGAAAAACTGGAGCAACTCGACCTGCCTCAAACTGGCTGTGGCAGCCAAACACCGGGACTTCATTGCTCACACCTGCAGCCAGATGCTGCTGACCGACATGTGGATGGGAAGGCTGCGGATGCGGAAGAACCCTGGCCTGAAGGTGCGTGCAACGTACCGGGAGACGGGCAAGGACAACAGTGACAAGCAACTCCTGCCAGTGTGAGATGAGCACTTCCTATGGGTTATTTTATTTATTCCTTTGAGCAACACCCTGAGGGAGATGCCAGGACAATCCCTAACAGACGAGGAACCTGAAGCTTTGAGATGATGTGACATTCCTAGGATCTTAGCTGGTCAGCATGGGATCAGGACCCACACCCTGATGGTCTAACCCCAGAGCCCCACCTGACCAGCCCACCTGGCTCCACAAACCCCTGCCACAGTCAGAGTCTCCTAACAGAGCCCCCCGTAACTCAGCACACACACACACCTGGTTGGGTTGTCTACCCACCATTAAGGCGGGGACTGGAACTTATTTCTAGATTCCCTTATAACTCTGAGATCGTTTATTGTTTTAACTGGTGAGGATATTTTCATGACATGGGAGAAAATTACGAGAAAATACGAAGCTACGAAAGGGTTTGAAAAATATGTAGTGGGGGGAAAACCATATTGCAATCAAACCGTATCTCTGGGGTTTACTGCTGTTAACTACTAGGATATCTTGAGAAGAGATTCTAGTCTGCAGATAACTCAACAATCTCATGGCAGTATTATACCTACCTTAGAGATCTCCGTGAGGCTAAAGAAAAGTCTATACAAGTTATACTGTGTAGTATGGTTCCAGCAAATAGCATTTTGTTTCTTAGAAATATGAATGGTATGCCTAATTGTCTAACTCTATGTAGCATGCTAAGCTGATATGATACATAACTTAGGATATTAATAAACAGTTTTCAGAATACCAAGAGTAAAGAGCTCTTCAAGGTTTTCAGGAAACTAAAGTAGATCACCTACATGGGGATGAACATTGAATTGGCATCAGACTTTTCATCAACAACACTGAAACCCGGAAGGCAGCAGTGGAGTAAGGCCTTCACAGTTCTGAGGGGAAAGCATTTGGAGCCTGGAATGTTTTTAACCCAGGCCAACTATTTAAAAGCATGAGAAAAGAATATCTGTTTAAGACAGGCAAAGACTCAAACTATACACTTTCAACCTCCCCATTTAGAAGAATTAGTTTGGTGGGTAGTCTAAGCCAAAAATAAATAAATAAACATTACAATGAAAAATGTGGAGTGGAGTGTAAGAAATGACCCAAGATTTATAAATTGCCATACAAAAGCTGTGCAGCCAGGAGAAAGGCGGTCAGATTAAATGAGGCCAAGGAGTCTGTGTGATCCAAAAAGGAAGTGCTCAAGAAGAATAGAAATGATTCTGATAAATAGACAGAATGACTAAGAAGCCACCACGTGTCAGAAATACAGGTTAGGGAAACAAAACAATTTATAATCCTTAACAGGAAAATAGAAGGTGAATCCATACATTTTAGGAAAAACAATAAAGTTCGTATAAAAGGTCAAGTTCAGTGTGATTCAAACTAAAGTTTAAAATGATCTGGAGCCATTGGTAGAGTGTAGAAAAACACTTACAGAAGGGAAGCGCAGCCACGCAAAGGGGTTCATGCCTGTAATCCAAGCACCTTGGGAGGCCAAGGCGGGAGGATCACTGGAACCCAGGAGTACAGGGACAGCCTGGGCAACATAGTGAGACCCCATCTCTATAAAAAAGAACTTTTCAAATGAGCCAGGTAATGTGGTGCACACCGTAGTCCCAGCTACTCGGGAGGCTGAGGTGGGAGAACCACTTGAGCCCAGAAGATCGAGAATGCAGTTAGCCATGATTGTAACACTGCACTCCAACCTGGGCAGCAGAGCAAGACCTTGTCTCAGAAAATAAAAAAAGGGAAGCACGTTTTCTATCTATGAGCCTAGGCATCCTTTTGTTGTCTAGGCTGAGCCCAAGTTAGTCCTTCTTTTGTGAGTCACATTCGCCTTGTAACTCTTAGTTCACATAATCTCATTTATGTCAAAGTTATTTCTACATAAAATACTTCTGGTCTACTTCACTACAGGTATTATATTTTATTTATATTATATTTTAGTTTAAACATTTGTATTCCTAGAAATTTCACGTAAGGACTTTTTTTTTTTT